AATTTTTTTTTTTTTTTGGAGTCTTTGTTATAAATTTAGCAACTGAAAACACATATACATATCGAAAAACAAAAAAAAAAAAAAGTTTATTTTTTCAAAGAAAAATTGAATTGTACCAAAAAAATAAAAAATAAAGATGAAAAAAACGAGTACAATAATACGCAAAAATTTGTGATTACAAAAAATTTTTTGTCAATTTCATGAATATATGGTAACAACCTCGGTACCGGTACCTCTTACCAATAAAATCCTCTGTAAACCTTCCGTTAATGCTTCAATAAATTCCATATCTGTAAGAAAAAAAAGAAATGACATTTCCATATATTATCAAAGGCATCGTTTATTTCCACCTGAATACAACCTATTACATTTATTCATATTAATTTACAGCTAAATTAACATTAGCAAAATTTGATTAGGCATTATGTAACAGTAAAATTTTCAAGATAAAATTTAGTATGCATTCTTTTGTCATCATATTTATAATGAGATCAATAGGTCAATCAAATTTTATACACGAAAAATGCTACATTAGAAAAAAATCTTCCATTAATTTAAGATTTGAATTTTAAAATAACAACTGTATTAATAAAATATAATCGCGTTTTTTAAATAATTCATTCCAAAGAATAAACATAAAAATATTTCACTTCTGGATGATACATATCAAACACAATCGATTTTTTGAAAACACAAACTTTATGATAATCATTATTCTCTATTTATCTATTAATTAAGCTATAATTTAAAAATTTTCCAATTTTATAGCAAGTTTTTTTTTTGCTTGAAAAAACTAACAATATTGTCCACTTCCAAGTTCTGGTGGTCCAGGTAAATTAACGATGACAAGCTGCGCATCCGGACTTTTCTCTCGCATTAATTCATTTAGCTTTACAGCAGTATGCATTTTTCGTACATTAAAATTTTTCCGCATCACACCAAAGCATTCATTTTTGATAACAATATTGCTTGATTTTCCATCAGTGATTAGAGCGATTGGTGATGATAATTCATTATCAAATATTTCCGTACTTTCCGGTAAATCTTTTTCATCATTTTCATTTAGTGTCTAAAAAAATTCAAATCATTTATGATAGATAATTTTTCTATCATAATATAATAGAAAAATAAACATAGTATGATTAAAATACAACATATGACATTAAATAGAAAATTATTAATAATTAAAAGTATTACAGATAATTTTTTTTCTTAAAAATCAATCATAGAAAATAAAAAAATAAGTTGAGGGAAGAAAAAGATGCGCAATAATTGATTAAATGATATTCTGTTATCAGGATTGAAAGTTGTAAAAAGGATTTTATTAAATGATAACTAAATGAAATAGTACAATATCATCTTCGCTGAAGTGAACCCGAGATTGTTCGCTTCTATCGAGTGTTGTAACTTCGGCTAATTCACCTTCTTCCATTATTATTTCTGTTGGCTTAGTTGTTTTTTCAGTCTGCAACATTTCAAATACTTTCCCAATGATTATAGGTAAAGATGAATTCAAAAAAAAAAACGAATTTCAACTATTTTCATTCTTTGTATGAAATTTGTTTATTATCTTTATAAAATTACAAAACAAGATAAAGATGAATCCCTTGCAAATTACAATTCAAAAAAAAAAAATTTTGTAGTATAAAAAAATGTAAAAAAATTACGCATCAAAATTATCTTCTTTTTTTCTCATTTTTCAAACAATAAAATTTAGCAAGCCTTGGCATGCAACAATTGATCCTCCTCACTGATTCGAGATAATTTCCTTTCACGAGCCGCTTCAACAACAGCTGACTGAACATCCAATTTTCGTTCACCAACTTGCATATCTTTCAACAATCGTACCCTTTCCTCCATTTTCATTGTTCGTTCATACGTATATTCTGAGATATCCGAATCAGGCTGCAAAAAAAAATGGAACGAAAAATAAATTGATCAAATTTATAGGCAAAAATTACAAAAATAATTGGAATAGTGTAAAAATTACAATGATATGTATTTACTCAAGTAATTAACAAATATTTACAAAATTTATTAAAATGCCTTCTAAAAATTGATTAACAAAAAGAGTTCAAATATACGATAAAGGATGTGAAATGAAAATTGAGAGTAGAATGATAAGCAAAATTTTATCATTTATTATTAATTTTCATCATTTGTTTATCTATCGATTATGATATGATAAGTATGTTGATTGATGTGAGTTTTTAAATACTTACATTATCAGTTGTTCTTATTCATCTGTTATAAAAATTATTGATAAATGAAGTAATTTGAATAAAATGATGAAAATTTTAAACATAAACCAATTCGATGACGAAAACTTGAGCTTCAATTCGTAAATGATACAAAAATGTTTCCAAATCTTTCTTCATATTGAACGTATTATCATCCATTTGAGCAATTGTAAATAGCCTTAGACGTGTATTACGCCAAGTTTTATTTTGCTTTAAAAGAAATGGTAAAAGCATTAATAAGCCACCATCGTGTACAATCCACCAAACATCTAAGTAACCATGTAGCTGGAAAAAAAAAAGAAGGAAATTACAAATCTTCTCATAACAATTAGATAAGAATAAACCGAAAAATTTCCATGTATTATTTTTAAAATCATTAAAATTATTTTGCAATTTAAAATTTAAATTTAAATTTAAAGTATGGTATTTCAAAAGGATATCATTTTCATTTTTTTTTTTTTCATCAGAAATACATCTTCCATTCATTGGGTTTAAAATATGATATTTGTAAAGAAAATGGAAAAATAAAATTCAAAAATATGTATCATATACCTTAACCTGTGAAGACGGAAATATTTTAACATTTTTTGGGACTAATATTGCACAATCAGCAGCATCAGCTGCACGTAACGTACTAACAAAACGTTGACAAACAGTAATTTCATGCGATGTGGCCCATTCATCTGGCCATACAACAACAACCGTATTATGTCGTAAACCACCCAAACCCGATGTCTACAAAAATTTTTTAAAAAAAAAAAGGAAGATATCTTTTTTAGAAAATTGCACAAAATTTCATCAATCAAATATATCGAATACAACTTATCCAATCGTAATCATATCTGAAATTGTAGTAAAATTTTCAAACCTGAACAAGACAGTATATTCCTTCGATAATATTATTTACCATTAATATATCATAAAATCCACGTATTTTATG